CAACCTATGTAATACCCACTCATTGATCGTATTTTGTCACAAAACATGTTTCGTTACGTTTTTTGGTCACACACGTTTCTTTCATTGGGTCCCTTTCCAGTCCGGTTATATTCTACGTTTAGGCATCCCTGACACTGCCATGCCTGAGAGAGACCCCCCCGGGTCAAACTACCCCTGGTAATACCCTGGTAGAGACCCCCAGGTATGTATATACCCTACCTTGAAGAGACCCCCCAGAACCCCACCACGTACTAGGTAAATACCCTGCCTGTACGCGCGACCCTGGTGTGTACGCCCGATCGTTTTGACCAACGGCCCTATCCATTCTCTCCGGTCACTGTGGTTGCCGTGTGGTTGTACTATATATATATAAGTACCAAGCATAGTTGTGCGTGTCCGCCCACATCAAGCCGCTGTGGCCGGAAGATCTACGTCCAAGAATGAATCCTTCGCCTGATGCCGAAGGCCTTCGCCACCTTGTCCATGACAATCAACCCGCGTTCCGCAAGTCCGGGGCTGTCTTCAGAAATGTATCTACGCTTGTTTGATGCTGATGATGTGATGCTGATGCGATGCGATGTTTTCTTCACCGCTCCAAACTTTCCTCCGTTGACTTCGCCACCATCAGTGAAACGAGCCGACCATCAGTTAACCGAGCGATCTTTGGCGTCCACACTGCGTAGTCCTCACTGCGTAGAAAATGTTCCCACGACATCCTCGTCATGTCATCTCATATAGTGAGAAAAATCTGATTGCCACCGATAGACTTTACGGGCTGTTTCACGATAATATCTTAGATGATCGGATCGGCTATTTTGATCGGATCGGCTATTTTGGTCTTCTTCACAGGCACGCGAAACCATTTCGCTGCTGAACATCCGAACATGCGAAGCCTGGAGGAACAGGACGAACAGGGAACATGACCTTCTTGATTAACCCCCTCCTTGTTCGGCCGACTCCCGCAGCAAAACGTAGTCGGCGTGAACGGAACGGCGGAGCAGTACTAGTAGTTGTTGGTGGTGTGGTTGCTCTTGCTTGCACACCTAATCCGTTCCAATTCCCCATATCAACTGTCCGTACTTCATCTGTACGTACTAACGTAAATAATGTAACACCTGACGCGGGCGGTCGATTCCCGTGGTCGCAGGCTACCTGGCACCCTAAAAACGCCAGCAAGCCGACAGACGCCAACGACAGATAGGCTAGAACAATTCTCCAACCAACTTAACTACGCTAACACAAACGGGATAACTGAAAGATGAACGATGGTGGCAAATTCACAAACGGGATAACTGAAAGATGAACGATGGTGGCAAATTTTATCAACGTGGATGTCTCTGAAGATGGGAGCAAATTCATATTCTACCGAATTGTGAACGCCTCTACCCCCCCACGTTGCTCCCATGATCGACACAGTTGTCACCGATGTGAGTTCTCGACAAAACCCAGCGGTCACGAAGCGTAGAGCATGGGGCATAACGACGAACGCACATACTGACAATGACCACGGGGCTTGGACGGCAACCAAGATCAAATTGCCGTCAAAAGAAACAACGAAAACCAAGACCAAGAACGCTCGAAAAGCGAGTATTTCAGATGGATCCAACCTAAGGGGGGAGAAGTCTGAAATTGGTGTTTAATGGAGTTGATGAGAAGTGAGCATGTATTATTATGTGCCAAAGAGGATGTCTGCGTGCGTACAGAAGAGGAGGCATGCGCACCGAGAGAAGGCAGCTGCTCGCAGGACATTCCGTTTGCGCCCGATTACGTTGAAGCATCATCAGTGCTGGAGCACAGCGACTGCTAAACATACGAGTGGACAACACTGCCAGCTACTACCTGTTAAGACGTTCTGTGCCGGGGAGCTAGTGTTGTCGTCTTTGCCGGCGGGGCGAAGACCAAGAATCTGGGCGACGGAGTCGATACGCCGTTCTCGGAGAAGCGTCGACTACTGTGGTACGTGCGATGTGACGTTGCGTGTGGTTCCACAGTATAACAGAGGACGATAGCTGTTAACAGACAGCGGTCAGTGAACGATAGCTGTTAACAGACAGCGGTCAGTGCACAGTGATACGTATCGTTATCCAGGAGGCACACGGGGGCATAGGCCAGACGGGCACAAATGCCATGTGAAGTCGGCGGGCGGGTGTGCGTATGATATGTCGACGTTCTTGGGGGTTTGCTCGAGCAGGGCGATGTCCAGCTGATGATGCTACTGCGGTGCGTACGCTGGTTGGTGTGCATGGAGCGGCGCAGTTTCAATCACAAGAATTACAAACCAAGTGTGCAACACGCGACAGAGGATATCATACGAGTAGGCCAGACACAACCGAACCCCTTTGCGTGCGAAGAAGGTGTCACAAAGACTGCTGGGAGCGGGCCAACTTGGTTGTTTTGCGGCTGTAATTTTTAATTTTCGGTACAGCAGTCTCGGAGACTGCTGTGGTGTGGTTGTGCTATCACAAATCACAATTACAAGACGAGGCGCAAGTTTGAGTGCAGGTCCTCGATCACACGACGAGGCACAAATATCTGAGTGCAGGTCCGTCGGCCCGAGGAAAGGTGGTGGGTATCCACACCAGCACCCAAGTGTTGCAGCAGCTTGTTATTCGTGTACACTTGATGGACCGTTGTTTTTTTTCCCACGAGGTTTTCCAGAAGTCAATGTGGACCGGATAAACAGGGGGGGGTGCGATGATTGATATAAACCATGCTGGCTTGTCATCTGGCGATGAGTCGTGGTTATCAGGAGCCGAACGCAAGAGATGTAGCACGTATGTATGTCGCTGGTGCGATGGCGGGACGGACTGCGGCTGTCAGGACACATACTCTTGTACGGGCCGTTTTTTTACTCGCGAATGTAGGTCGTCGTGTATGGAAAAATCGGTGGCATGGCAGGCAGAAACATACAACGAATCGATATAGAGCGAGCTAGTACGCTGGTGCGTATGATGCCGGCTCACGGTTATTGAGTGTAGACCAGGGTGCGGGTCATCTGGAGATGAGCCGTGGTGGTCAGGAGCCGCACACAAGTGGCGTGGCGTGTAGGTCGCTGGTGCGGCTGGGATGCAGTATGCGGTCGTTATGATAGATACCCATACTGAATGTTACTCATACCCATACTGAATGTTACTCGAACCGGTTTGCACGTACGACCATGGGTCGTTGGCACGGAATAATCGGTCGAGAGGCAGAAAGCCACAACGCGATATATACAGCTGGTAATGGTACCACACTGTATATACCGCTGGTTACGCTAGAGCCTTCTGATGCGGGTCATCTGCAGATGAGCCGTGGTGGTCAGGAGCCGCACACAAGTGGCGTGGCGTGTAGGTCGCTGGTGCGGCTGGGATGCAGTATGCGGTCGTTATGATAGATACCCATACTGAATGTTACTCATACCCATACTGA